CTGACTTTAAACTTAAACTGCTCCAAATGAATGGCAAAAATTCCCAGTAATGAAACACCCAGTCGAAGACAGGTTATACTACTAGTAATTAAATATCTATAAATATATCATGATTTTGTGATCATGTTGGCTATAGTTACCATGCTGATTAGGTAGTCACCACACTCATCAAGTTGTGGAATTAATTACTCTTTTTCTAAAGAGAAACTAATAAACTATATCACAATTTTGTGGATACATATACTCACAATTTAACAAATATTTACAGCTGGCCGTGCTTAAAGCGTTTACAAATTATTGTTAAAAGCTAACAACTCTCCTCTTCCTCTTAAAGTGGATTATCCTATATTAGGACATGTAATAGATGATTCTAATTTTATTTATTCAAGATGTCTCAACTTTTAAATTACAAATTCAATGTATTCTTTTAAAAATTTGTAGGCTAAAATTTATATTGAATTGAAATCAAATTTTATCAGAACATGACATCCAGTTTGATATTTTTTAATCATAATTTAAAATAGCCCCTTGGATAATGAATGCAAAATTGTATATTCAAAAGCATAAAATTGGATTTTCCAAAGAAATTATTTTTATCTTTGTTTTTATTTATTTATTCACTTGATAAAAAGACAATTTCTCTATTGGAATTTTCTAATGTTGTAATACAAATAAAGATCATTGAAGTATTCCCAATGCTTTTTTTTTTTTTTTTTTAAATCTGTTTTTTTGTATATTTTATCACTCCAATCACCAATGTTCATTTAACCTATTAAGCTAACTTTAAGTACATTTAGATTAAAAGTATTGTTTTTGTTACCTTCATATTTTAAATGATTAACAAAACATTCCTAAAAGTAATTTTGATAAATTACATCTATTGAAAAAACTGGCTGACATTACAGAAACCTAATAGTTTAATGTCGGTATCAAACCAGTCAAGAAACATGTAGGTAGAGAGAGACCTTGATTATGAGATAATTATCATTCAACTTGTACTTAAAAGCTAGATTCCTAGATTATAATATTATTACTGGGTTCAAATGCAGTTATTAATTTTAGTGTATTGAATAAAGGGTTCAGCTCAAAATTTCAAGATTAACCATAAAAATAACAGACCCGAAGAAAGCCAAAGGATACAACAGCCAAAATTTCAGTATAATAACGAAGATGATGATACTAGTCCAAATGGAAAGGTATATAATAATTCCTCATGTCAAAAATCCTGATGTAATTAAAAATAATTAGGTTAAAGTCTTAAGAAATTTACTTGTCATACAAAATCTTTATCAAGTGTAAAAATTGAAATGGCAATATGAAACTGAGAAAATGTACAAGTTCTAACTCATGGAAAATATTTCAGTAAAACCATACTAAAAGTTTGTAAAATTCTTTTGCAGAATTTTCCTCAGGTGATGATGAATAATAATTATCAGAGTTACAAGTTGTTAGCAAATAAAAATTAGAAATTTGTATATTTTAAATATTAATTTCACTCTGGAATAAGTAAGATTGAAAAAAAAAATCAAACATTGATTTGGAATAATGAAATATTAGATAAAATGACATTTAGAATTAGAAACAAAAGCTATGGATTCAAGGAAGAGAAAAACGCATGAAAAGTGATGATAAAGAAATCAGGTTGAAATTAAATGACAACCCCAAAAGTTTTCTTTTATGTGGCTCTGAATGCACTTTTACATTAGAACTGCACATGTGCACTTGTTCAGCTGTCAATGATAAAGTTAACGCCAAAGTGATGGCAGGAGTATAAGAAGTTATTGCCATAGGTAATGGTGCCACTTCATGTGGTTGTGGAGGGCAATATGTAAGCCACAAATTTGTCCACAGGTAAGCAAGAAAACTTAGATTTTGGCACACTGTCAATTGATGCCATAAGACATGCCTTTCAGTTCTCCATTGATGAAATGCAGTTGCCATGGCACATGGCTTTCCAGATCGGCCTATTGAGGGTGAAATATTCAAGACTAGTGGGATTTATATTAGAGCAATTTGGTATAATCCTTAAAGAATCTTTTTTGACCTCTAGCAGCCTGTTTAGGGTTCCTCAGTTGACAATAGAGAACTTGATAAGGAAGACAGTGATCAAGCATGCAAATAGTAATCCCTGTCCTGCACAGGTTTTTGTTGGCGTTTGCTTTAAGCTTGAGATGTGCTATTTATAAAGGATCCACATTTCCGACCTATATAAAACATTCTTGGTGCTGATCTTCAGAATTTTGTTCTCAAAAACTCTTACAGAGGTAAGGTATAGGTCAATCAAAGGCTACCAAGGCTTTGTTAATAGGGCTGCTTATTTCAAAATTGAGAGAACAGTCTGAACTAAGGTAAATGAAATGATGACCCATGTTGGGTGGAATATTATTGATTTGGAAAAGATGGTTGAGTAGTGAGTTGGGTCATGACTTTTTTTTGCTGTGGGTCTGAAGGCCACAGGACTGATGCTAACTGGAGATTATGTTGTGGGGTGGGGTCAGAACTGCACAGTTGTTTGCATATTGAAGTTTGTGCATCTGTCAAATATTTTCTTCATGTAAGCCTGGAAGCGCCTGATATTAAACATATATGAAGCTGGTATTCCAGATGAACACCATCTTTGTGTCTAGGGCAAGGTGAAAAAAATTAGTGATGCTAGATGCAAGAAATTTAAAAGGATTGGTGCAACAATACAGCCTTGCTTCACCCAACATTAACCCTGAAGGGATTTGACAAGATCCCTGCCAGAACTTTGGCCTGCATTTTGTCTGCAGGACAGAAAGAAACTTAGGCGGTAACCCAATTCTGGCAAGTTGTTTCCAGAGCATCTCATGGTTGTTTATGTCAAAAGCTTTGCTGTGTTCAATGAAGAATATATGAATATATTTGCCCTGTTTTCTACTCTTTTCAAGTAGCTACTACAGAACAAAGATATCAGTTGTGGATATGGAATTTCAGAAATTATATTGAAGAGGAGGAAAATTCCATGGCTGTTGCTGTCAGCCTTCTAGTTCAAGAGGACAACAATGTTGGCATCCTTCCAGTCCTGTGAGACAATAACAGTCTCCAAGATATTGTTTAGTGCAGATGGCATGTCAGTTAGTAACCACCATGTTTGATAACCTCTATCTGGATGCTGTTGGGTCCTTCACTTTTATTGTTTTTCACTTCCCAGATAGCAATTCAATAACTGCTCAGCCTTGCAAGCTACTATATATGATACAGCCTCTGAAGTACTTGGCCTGTCCAGAAAACTCAATCAGGATTGATTCAATAATAGCTCCACTGAAATCCAGTTGCTGCTATACTCAATACATTAAGCTTATAAAGTTCTCCTGACCAACTCTGATTCCTCCACCCTGAGAACTACTTTTTCTGGGGCAAAAGCCCAGCATGCTCTTTGCATCATGAAGGAAAGTCCAAGAAAGCCAACATTTTACAGACTGCAACAATATCTAGGGTTTGTATAAGAGGCCATCAAAGCTCTACGTGTCTTCAGGAAGCAAACTATTTTCCTTGTCCATTCAACAGATGGGAAGGCTCCATAAGAACTGACATGAGATCCTAAACTGCCAGGTGGATCACTTTGAGACTTTTGAATGACACCAACTCTGCTGATCCACACACTTAACCAATTATTTTTCACATTATCAGTATAAAATAAACTTAGTTTTTAGTCAGTTTCATGAATGAATCTCAATCTTCATTAGCTGACCTCCTGTAATTCTTTTTGCCCTGGTTTTGTCAACCCACAACTAATATATGGAATTGTGTTGATCTATCTGAATTTCATTTAAATAACTAATTTTAACTAACTTTTATCTATCGAGGAATTACATATTTTAATTCATTCTTGGTGACTTTATTTTATGTTAATAATCTTTTCACTCTGTTTATAAACACTCACTTCAAAACATTTACAAATATTTTATTTTTTTACAGTATTCTCCAAAATGGTAAACACAAATAAAGAAGCTGATAAGCAACAAACTAGTAACAATCTGAGAAATATGCATTGTATAAATTTATTATGAGAATACTCTAGCCGTCTACAAGATATCAATTCTCTCAGGTCTATTTCTTCTATCTTCATGTTTTTAGCAGTAGTATCATTTGTATTTTTCCTATTTATTATTACGATAAAGGTTTCAATATGCAAAACATTTAAAGAATTTTTTGTAACTGGAATCAAATAAAATCCCTGAATTTTAGCTTGATTTAAAAAAACAAACATGAAGGTTCAACAAAATTGAAGGAAATAATTTAATAAAAAGTATAACTTTAATTGAATCCTCATTAAAAAAAAAAACATTGAAAATGTACAAATACCTGCACCCACACTCATACACATGCCTATAATGGAAAGTGACAGTTTAGCAAAAATGATAATTCAATATTGTCATATGCCCTACTCGATAAATAATTTATAACGCAATCATACTCCGACGAGGAGATATATACATTATCACGTCTATGGAGAGATACGGCCTATCTCTCCCAGACCATGACAAATGGATAATTAGTAAACAAAAATATTTTAAAGAATACTGTTCTATTGAGATAATCAAACAGTAGTGTTTTCCCAGGTTTGCTTTGGTTTCAACACATATACCGATCCACAATTCAAGGATGAACGATGAGGCGTAATAAATTTTGGTACAAGAATTTTAATATATACATATACACAAGATATTACAATAAAAGAAAAATATAAGCATGAGTAAAGCATCCGACGACCAGAACCTCAAGACTTATGTTGGGATACCAAAATATGCCCAAATCCATGTGGATTCGACTTAACCCGAATGGATAAAAAAAAAAAAGTATGCATAACTACGAATGCAGAAATCAACGCTTAACCCAAAAAAAAAGAGATGGGATAGGATTTATATATTACTATTTTGACATGTGGAAAGGTGTTTGTGAGAACATAAAATTTATGGATGCATGTGTATCTTTCTAACACGGGTCCAAAATATATAGTTACTTATCTTTATATTCAGTTCTCTCTCTTACTCATTGTCCTTTCTTTTCTCTCTCACGTTTCCTCTTTTCTTTCTTTTTTTTCTTTATACAAATTCAATTTCAAACACGGTCCGGCTGCAACAGAGATATATACTTTCTTCTTGCTTGTTTTCTCTTTTCTTTATTAAAACATGGGCTGTATTCTCAGCGTGCAAGTTTCCTTGCGTCTTCTGTGATAAATAACTCGATTTATCTTCTTCAATCTGGAGTTGACGAACAGAAATATATATCCTTATATTTCTTATCCGGAGTTGCTTATGATGAATCGGACAAGTTCCATCATTACCAAAATGAGTCTCATCTTTCCATTCATAAGATATCAGCGCTTCGATTTCGAGTCTTGCTCCTTCAAAGACAAGACAGCAACTGACTTCCAAATAATTTTTTAATTCCCACGTGTCTTGCATTTTGGCGCGAATTCCAGTTCCTGATGCTTCACGACCTTACGCCAGTCCCCTGTCTAGATTCTGTCTAGACGTCTGTTGCTACGGGTAACTGGGTCAGTCAACCTCTTGACCTGATTCCCCAAAATGACTCGAGACTCCCACGTGACCTCTTCTGTTGTCAAGCAGAGATTAACCTTAATATATGCGTGTTTGGGCTATCTGCATTCGTAACATATTTACAGCTTTGTCAAAGTATACACCCATTTTTTTTTCTTCCAGTTTTAATAACATACACACTCAATATTATTAAAATATATGCATTTTTTTTTCTTTCAGTTTTCAGCTCCATCAAAACATACATATTTTATATTTTCTCAGTTCCACTAAGATCTACCTTTCTTTATTTAATCCTTTCCAAATTATGGTTAACATCTGCACTCGTTTTCAATATCTCGACAAGGTATCCGCTACTTTATTTGTTGTTCCAGCAATATGCTTTATTTGAAGATTGAACTCCTGCAATATAAGACTCCAACTTTGTAACCTTCGGTTTTTGTTTCTTATGCGATCTATAAACGTTAATGGATTATGATCAGTATATACAACTGTAGGAGAAAGAGAATTGGTTATATAAACCTCAAAATGGAGAACAGCTAATACTAATGCCAAGGCTTCTTTTTCTATTGTTGAATAGGACTTCTGGAACTTATTCAATTTCTTTGAATAGAAGCTTACTGGATGAAACTCTTTATCTTCATCTTCTTGCATTAATACAGCTCCGATTCCCACATCGCTGGCATCTACATGCATCTGAAACGGCTTGTTGAAATCTGTGGCCTTTAACACAGGATTTGATTTTAACTTACTTTTAATGGTTTCCAATGCGACCTCACATTCCGTGGTCCACACAAACTTATGCCCCCTTCCTAACAAGTTTTTTTTAGCGGTGTAGCGATTTCGACCAAATTCCTACAATACCGCCTATAGTAATTAGCCATCCCTAAGAACCTTCTTAGACTTCGGCTATTAGTGGGACGAGGAAAGTTTGCGATGGCTCTATTGTCTTTGCCTCTATTGGTTTAATCCTTCCTTGCCCTATCACATGTCCTAGATATTTCACTTTGGCATTACAAAATTCACTCTTGCCAAGATTTACTGTCAACTTTGCCTCTTTTAATCTTTCAAAGACCTTCCGTATCGTATCCATATGCTCACTCTCCGTGTCACTGTGAATTACGACATCATCAATATATGCATCAACTCCTGGAATATCGGACAAACATCTATTCATTAGACGTACGAACGTAGCTTGCGAGTTCCTCATACCAAAGGGCATAACTCGATATTGATAAGCTCCATCTGGGGTGACAAACGCTGATATCGTTTTCACTTTGTCAGTTAACGGTACGGCCCAATATCCTTTTAGCATATCTAGCTTGGTGATATATTTGGCCTGACCAATTCGGTCGATACAATCCTCCATCCTGGGGATTGGATAGGCATCTGCCTTCGTGATGCTATTCACTTTTCCATAGTCCGTACAAAACCGTACAGCACTATCCGGCTTGTCTACTAACACACAGGGTGATGCCCATTCACTTTGACTAGGCTCAATAATTCCGTGTTCCATCATATATTTAATTTCTTTTCTCATAACTTTCAACCTTCTGGGGTTCAGACGATATGGATGCTGTTTGATCGGTTGTTCCGCCGTCAATATTATATCATGTACTGCGGCATTGGTCTGCTGGGGTGTATCCGAGAATATATCCCGATATTTATTTATTAAAGTTCCCAGTTTCTGCTTTACCTCATCAGTAATATGAGCCAACTTTTCCTCCAGATTTTCCAATATTCTGGAATTTTCCAATTTAAGAGGTTGGTCCTTTTCTATCCAGTGTTTATCTTCCCTATATCTTTCTACCTTCTCTTTCTCTTGTTCACTCACTAGCATTATTGCTTGTTCTTCCCCTCTTTTACAAAACATTCTCAGCATATTTAATTGGCATTTCATTCTACTTTTCCTTCGGCTGGGCATATGTACCAAATAATTCAAACTGTTCAGTTTTTTCAGTACTTTGAACGGCCCCTGGTATTTTTCCTCAAATGGTCAACCGTTCGAAGGTAACATCAGGAGTACTTCATCACCTTCTTTGAATTGCCTATCAACGGCCTTTCTATCATATTTCTCCTTCATATTCATCTGATTATTTCGCAGATGCTTCCTTGCCAGTTCTTGCTCAGCTTTCAACTTCTGTCTCATATTCGCAACATACTCATGCATATTGCCATGCCTAGGCTGATCTACCATCCATTTTTCTTGTAATAACTGGAGTGGTCCCCTCACTCTATGTCGAAAAATTAACTCGAACAGGCTGAATCCTGTGGATTCCTGAATTGCTTCACGCATTGCGAATAACACAAAGGGTACTCCCTTATCCCAATCTTCCTGATTCTCCATGCAGTACGTCCTCAACATTGTCCTTAACGTAGCATGAAATCGCTCCAGTGCTCGCTGAGACTGCGGATGATATGCACTCGATTTCACATGCATAACTCCCAATTGACTTGTGACCTCCTTGAATAAACTTGATGTAAAATTGGATCCCTGATCCATCTGTATAATTTTAGGCAAGCCCATTCTCGTGAAAAAGTTTACTAAGGCGTCTTCTACCTTCTTTGCCGACATGTTCCTTAACGGAATTGCTTCAGGGTACCTAGTTGAAGAGCTCATTATGGTTAACAGATATTTGTACGAATTTTTGGTCCGCGGTAAAGGTCCAACACAATCAACTATAATTCTGTTGAATGGTTCTTCCATGGCTGGTATTGGTTGCAAGGGCGCTTTTGGAATCGCCTGGTTACGTTTGCCCGCAACTTGGCATGTTTGACATGTCCAACAAAATGACCTTACATCTCTCCTTATTCTCGGCCAGTAGAAATATTTAGTAACTCTGTCGTGCGTCTTCGCCACGCCCAAATGTCCAGCCCACTGATTATCATGCGCTATAGATAATATCTCCTTACGGTATCTTGTAGGGACTATTATTTGCTCATATCCATCATATTTATCCGTTCCGGCATGGACCTGCGGTTTCCACCGCCTCATTAGGATACCATTTCTGATATAGTAGCGTCCTGACTTGTTTTCTTCTTCTCTACTTCTCCCAACTAGAGAATATAGCTTCTTTACTTCCACATCGGCTTCCTGTTCTTTTTTTAATTCTTCACGGGGTACGTTCAGCTTGGGACGTATCTCTATTCGGTTATATTTCCCCACTTCGTTCCTTTTATCGATTCTTTTTATCGTGAGTGATCTCGCCCTTCTGTTTTTCTTCTCTTCATGAAGCTTTTTCTCAGTTTGCCTTGTAACCACTGCTGAAATTTTCCTTTTTCCATCTTCCTAGTTATAGTGCCTTCACCTGATGCGCTGATGTTTTTCGAGGCTCAATATCTATCTGTTTTCTGCCTACATCATTTCCTAACAACAACGAAATTCCCTTCATCGGAAGCGAATCTAGCAGCCCGACTTCTACTTCGCCGGCTTTCCATTTAGACTTTAGTTTAATCTTCCATATCTCCATTTTCATAGGTTTACCACCAATGCAGATCACTGTCTTTATTTTCCCCGTCCTATATCACATATTTTCCGACACATCACTTCACCTTGCTAACAACTGGAAAGCCCCTGTGTTCCTTAACACTCTTAGGGTTTTCATCTCCTTTCCGCTCCTGACAAAAATCTGACCGTTTGCAGTGTATGGCCAGTAACTCTTGTCTATCTGCTTCGTGATTGCTGCCCCTTGGGGTTTTGCATTTTCCATCATATCCTTATGACTCCTACAATTTGTAGCGATATGCCCCGGCTTTCTACATGTATAGCACACTATCTGGGGTGCTTCCCGCTTAGGTAAGTTTCGTTTCCCTGCCCATATCTGCGTTCCGGTGCGCCTGGGTTCTTCATTACCACGTGTCTGTGTTGAATGGCGCATTATGGGTGTACTATTCTTTGAACGAGCTTTCTTATGGGTAATACTAATATTGTATTTGTCTGCTAACGTAGCTAAGTCATAACATGATTCTATTTTCCTGTCACTCAGGTATGTTCTCATTTCCTCAGACAGGTTGTTCTGAAAATCCTCCGCCAGTATAATATTTTTCAGCCCATTACTTTCTTGGCTTGACACCACCTGTCTAAATATATTTCCTTCTGTCTGATATATTCTACATATGTTTGGCCCTCAAACTTTCTATAGCTCCTAAACTTTTGTCTATAGGCTTCCGGCACGAGTTCATATGCCTTCAATATCACGGACTTCACTATTTCATAGTGTAGCAAAGGAGTCAAATTCAATATGGAGTGTAAGGGACGCAACTCTTTCCGTAGGAAAATGTCTGACACGACGCAACGCAAAGCAACGTATACCGAACACGGGTGTAATGGCTTCTGCCAATTTCTCCAAGCGACCTGCTTTTATGGAGCCCAGATACACCTCATTAGCATGCGTGTAACACGACCTTGCGAGACTGCACGAGACCGTGAATATTAAAAAGTCACGGACGCCATCTTGGACCCTTTCTTTCTTTTCTCAACCCACAGGCCAGACAGACGCGAGGGCGTTTGGGAGGTAAACCATTTCTATTTTCCCCACACTCCCCACTGATCTCATGATCACAGAGTTGGCAGGGAGGCGGCGATCGCTTTCGCCGGGTGCTTCTTCGAAGAGGTACGCTGCGAGCCTCATCGTTGCTTGTGCTCCCGTCCGCGGTCTGAGGGTCAAAAAAACACCGCGTCCTTTGGAAGGCTACTGGTATCTGCCCGATGGAGCTGAGCTGGCGTAAACCAGAGCGATGCCTCACTGGTCTCAGATTCCGATTCGCTCTCGTCGTCCAGCGGTGGTTGCAACTGCATCGCCGGCCGCAGGTCCTTAACGTGACGGGGCACACCGTCGACCCGCACCACCTGCGGGCTGATCACCTCAGTGACGCGTCCGGTTCCGTATTTCGTCGTACACTTGCTGCGCGGGTCCTTAATCCAGACGACATCTCCTTTCTTCAGCCTCTCTCCGGTTACTTTCAGTTTGGGCAGCGGGTTGGTCTCTATGCCCTTCACTGTGACGTGGTACCTATGCAATGTGTCGGCTGGCGCCGTAGAGGGTGAGACATTATCCCTCGCGGTCACGTTGTACAAGTAGACCGCCTCAGACACCGCGCAGCCCGTCCTGGCTGCGATGGTCTTGACGGTCCTGTGGTTCCGCTCGATGATCCCATTTCCACTCGGTACGTGGGCGCAGCGGAACCGTAGGTGCACTCCCCAGCCATCCGCAAACTTCCCGAACTTCTCACTGGTGAATGCGGGCGGTGCCATTGTCGGTTAATATCTCCGTTGGGGGGGGGGGGCACGTTCAAGGAAGATACTGTTTAACTGACGGATGATGGTGGCTGCATCTTGCCGACACAGCAGCCGCCATATCGCAAACCTAGATGGACCGCAATCAATGAGCGTCAGGAAATCCTCGCCGTTGTGGTGAGTAACGTCTATCGCCAGCCGGCTCCAGTGGCTCCTCACGCTCAGCTGCCCTTTCTTCCAGCGAACGGGTGCTGGGTCTATAGACTGGCATGCCACGCAGCTTCTAACCACTCTCCTGACGTCTGTCTTTTGTACTCCTGGGTCAACCAACTTGGCGAAATACAGGGTCCGCTTGACTCCAGGGTGCCCGCTTTGTTGGCGGACTTCTTTAGACGGGAGCGCGTTTGGGAGGTAAACCATTTCTATTTTCCCCACACATAGTCTGCTCATTCTTCGGTCGACAGTGTTGCGTATGCCTTTTGCACTTTACCAGTCTGTTTGCAATAATATCGCCCAATGCTGTTTTGGTCATTTCATGTTTGTAGCCGTCCTTTCGAAATGATCAATATATTCTTCCACTTGCCTTTCTACAAACTTCGGCAGAAGGTGCCCTTGCTTGGTGATTTCGAAATTTTTCTCCTCATTTGCTTGTCTGACTTCTAACTCGCGTATTCTTGTTTCTTGTTCAATACGTGCTTTCTCTATCTCAGCTTTAGCTAATATTCTGGCTTTCTCCAGTTCTACCTGGGCGTTCGACAGACCTGCTTCCTCCCTTGGGAATTCCTCCAGGGTCTCCTCCTCGAACACGTTATTATCCACCATATATTCTGTAATTTTCCACACTATCTCAATTTTTCTCATCGACTTCCTGACGTTTAGTTCCAGCATTTCCCCTATATCATATGCTTCATCTTTCTTCAATTGACTTAGTTTTCCCGGGGTGGGCTCTTTCAGGAATTCCTCTCTACATTCTCCATTTCTACTTTATTTATTTATTTTTTTTTTCGTTCACCTTGTTGTGGTCAGTAAGTGTTATCTTAATAGAAGGGTTAAAAAGAATTTATGGCACGAGCCCCCATTTGTTTACGAAGCAAATATATCCCGGACAAAGGCCACATTTGTCATATGCTCTACGCGACGAATAATTTATAACGCAATCATACTCCGACCAGGAGATATATACATTATCACGTCTATGGAGAGATACGGCCTATCTCTCCCAGACCATGACAAATGGATAATTAGTAAACAAAAATATTTTAAAGAATACTGTTCTATTGAGATAATCAAACAGTAGTCTTTTCCCAGGTTCGCTTCGGTTTCAACACATACCGATCCACAATTCAAGGATGAACGATGAGGCGTAATAAATTTTGGTACAAGAATTTTAATATATACATATACACAAGATATTACAATAAAAGAAAAATATAAGCATGAGTAGTAAAGCATCAGACGACCAGAACCTCAAGACTTATGTTGGGATACCAAAATATGCCCAAATCCAAGTGGATTCGACTTAACCCGAACGGATAAAAAAAAAAAGTATGCATAACTACGAATGCAGAAATCAACGCATAACCAAAAAAAAGAGATGGGATAGGATTTATATATTACTATTTTGACATGTGGAAAGGTGTTTGTGAGAACATAAAATTTATGGATGCATGTGTATCTTTCTAACACGGGTCCAAAATATATAGTTACTTATCTTTATATTCAGTTCTCTCTCTTACTCATTGTCCTTTCTTTTCTCTCTCACGTTTCCTCTTTTCTTTCTTTTTTTTCTTTACACAAATTCAATTTCAAACACGGCCCGGCTGCAACGGAGATATAAACTAATTAATTAATTATAATAATAATTTTCTAATTCCCACGTGTCTTGCATTTTGGCGCGAATTCCAGTTCCTGATGCTTCACGACCTTACGCCAGTCCCCTGTCTAGATTCTGTCTAGACGTCTGTTGCTACGGGTAACTGGGTCAGTCAACCTGTTGACCTGCTTCCCCAAAATGACTCGAGACTCCCACGTGACCTCTTCTGTTGTCTAGCAGAGATTAACCTTAATATATGCGTGTTTGGGCTATCTGCATTCGTAACAGGGACCCCAAAGAGAGAGAAGCATGTGTTCAGGAATGCTAATAATATGGTGGTAGCAGACATATCTTGTAAGAGTGTGGCTTCTACCCATCTTGTCACTCTATCAATGCACGTAAGTACATATCTAGCTGGAGATGTGTATACACCATCATAAGTAGTGGTGGATGGTAGTGGACCAATGATGCCTATGTACACAATTTCAAATCTCAAAGATGGTAGAGAGAATGGTGTAGTTTCTGTTCTAGTGTGTCTGGAGGTCTTGTGCTGTTGGCATCGTAGACAACCTCTGACCTGGGACTGTATATTTCTCATCATGTCTGGCGAGAAGTATCTTGCTTTTATTAATTTTGTCATCGGCATATGTCCTGGATGCGAGATGTTGTGAGACATGGTGAAGATCCTCCTACATAGTGGTTTGGGTATGTATGGTCTGGAAGTGGAGGTTGATAGGTAGCACCAGATGGATGACGCTTGCATCTCATAGGGTTTAAGTTGACTTCTGTATGTGTTAATTTCCTCATCTCTCTTTTGTGAGTCACTGATTGTTGGTAGATCGCAGGGTCTGTGGTCACTGAGTACATTGGCTGAGATAGGCAATTAGCAACAATGTTGTCTTCTCTTATATACAGTACATCTGTCATAATTGACAATTATCTTTGTTGCTTGTCTGATTACATTGGTGTTTCTTTTCGTAATGCCAGGGACAGTGGTTTGTAGTCTGAAAACAAGGTGCCATTTCTACCTTCAATTTGTGGCTTGAAGTGTAAGACTGCGTGGTAGGGTGCTAACAGTTCTCTGTCAAAGGTGGAGTATTTTCTCTGGTTTTCAAACAGTTTTCTTTTAGTAAAATCCAATGGGAACTGGATCATCATTTATCTGATGGAGTGCTGCACTTACCACACAGTTGGAGCTATCTGTAACTAGATGGCATTGTGTGGCATCTGGATCAGGATGTATCAAAGTAGATACTTTGGCAAGGACGTTTTTTATAGTGACAAATTTTGTTTTCAGCTGGGATTAGCTTCAGTATTTTTGCTGCTGGATTATGTTTTAATGGCTTCAGTTAGAGACAGTAACACATCTGCAGCTTTTGAGATTAATTTCCTG